TTGGATCTTCTCTGTTAACAGAAACTTGGATGGAACCAGACGAGAACGGTACCTTCTTGGAGCTTCTCCCACCCAGCTGTTCCTTCTTCAGCTCCCCTCATCTCACGGGCCATGGTGGGGGCATTGCCTCGGTTTTCCGTGACAGTTTTAAATGCAGACTTCTGCCTGCCAGCATTTACTCATCTGTTTGTGGCTGAGCTGCCCCAGCCTGTTATCCTCTGATTTGATCAATACTTACACTTCTTTTCATTTAACTCTGTACATGATGGACCTACACATCTTATCGGGCATGCATTGGACCTTATTATTTCCCATGGACTGTCCATCTCAGGTTGTGAAACATCTGAATCTGTTATCTCAGATCACTTCTCAGCCCCACCACCAGCCAGCAGGCCTGCCATTGTGGATCACTGGCATTCTATCTTCACTCCTGAAACAGCGATACTTTATTGCTGCTTTTATGGATTCACAGTTTTGTGTTTCCAATGAACTTGGTCCAAATGTCTTCATCTCTTTCCAAAACACTTGCTCAACAATTGTAGACTCCACTGCTCCTTTTTGATTTAAAGCCACCAAACCAAGAGCAGAGTCGTGGCTAAATGATGCCACTGGCACTGTCAGGAAATGAATGCAAGAAAACTGAACGACAATGGAAAAAAGACAAACTACTTCCATCTTTAAATTTTTTGAAAGAGAACAACAAGGAATGATGATGAATCTTGTTGACATCATTACCAGAGTTCAGCTAAAAAGACGAAATACCAGTATTTATCTATCTTAGTTTCAAACAGTAGACATTGCCCTGAGTGTTATTTAACACGATTAACTCTGTTATTAATCCAGTAAATTGTGTTTACCAGACACTACAACCACTAACAGAACTTCCTCATTTCTTCCAAGATAAGTGGCATCAGTCAAACAGGTTACTGGTTCTAATGCTGCTCCTGACTTCTCTGTTGCTGCTGAAGCTTCAGTTGTGTTCAAACAGTTTGAACCAGTTTGAACCAGTTTCTCTCGCTTCTTACTGATGTTGTTCAACACATGAAGCTCACTTACTGCCCACTTGGCTTTCTTCCTTCTACGTTCTTAAAAGAGGTTTTTAATATTGTAGGTTTTTGGATCATAACTTTTTTAAATACTTGTCTTATTTTAGGAAGTGTCCCTGCTGCTTTAAACATGCTGTGGTTAAGTTCCTTCTCAAAAAACTTCACCTTGATCCATCAATTACGGTAGATCAAATTTTAGACCTGTTTATCATTTTTCTTTTTAAGCCAAAGTTTTGGCCAACCTTGTTTTTACAACCCATCTTGGAAAAACATGGCATTTATGAAAAATTTCAGTCTGGATTTAGAACTCGTCATAGTACTGAATCAGCCCTGTTAAAAGTCCATAATGACATCACATTGTCGATGGATGTTAAGTGTCCTGTTGCTTTGGTGCTGCTGGACCTTACAGCTGCTTTGACACAGTGGAGCTGCTCTCTTTCTGTCTCGTCTTCAACACTGTGTTGGTAGATCTGGTCCAGCACCCGTGGTTCACCTCCTACTGGACCTACAGAACTTTATCTGTCATGATGGTGCTGTCTTCCTCTTCTGTCTCTCTTTCTTGTGGTGTACCACAGGGCTTTATTCTTGGTCCTCGCCTTTTTTCTCTGTATATGCTGCACTTGGATCAGTTATAGCCTGCACCACTTTTCCTTTCACTGCTCTGCAGATGACTTACAGATTTATTTGTCCATGAAGCCTAAAAGTAGTTATCCTCACACTTCTTTTCTTGACTGTATTACTGACATTAAACAGTGGCTTCACCAAATTTTTCTGTTTTTGAATGAAGGAAAGACAGAGTGTGTCTTCTTTGGTGATGATGCTTCTTGTAAATTTGGTGCTCTGACATCCAAGTTCAGATCCACAGTTACAAACTTTTGAAAAGGATTTAAAGTTTGACAAACATATAGCCTCTGTAGTCAAGGCCAGCTTTTATCAGATATATATTTTAACCAAAGTTAAGCCTTTTTTAAATCGTCTGGACCTGGAAAAGGCCATTCAGGCTTTTATCAGCTGAAGGCTTGACTACTGTAATGCTTTGTGTGTAGGAATCTTCCACTCCTCCATCAGACGCCTTCAGTTGATCCAAAACGCTGCGGCACGTCTTTAACCAACATCCCCAGACGTGAGCACATCACCTGTTTGATTTTCTCTTCATTGGCTTCAAGTCAATTTTAGAATTGATTTTAAACTTTTATTCAAATTTAAAGCTCTTAACTGTCTCACCCCACCATATTTAAAACTAGTAGCTTTCTGTCAGTATAAAAGAACTTTAAGGTTCAAGGTGACTTTATTGCCAGTCGCATCACGTGTGGTACATGAGGTGGAAAGAAATTGTGTACTCAAGGTCCCAGTTACACCCAAAAATAGCAAGAATATAAACTATAAAAAAGCAACAGTATACAAAGGTCTAAGACATACGCTAAACAATAATAATATTGTATAATCCTGATGCATGCTCAATAATCCAGGTAGAAAAATCCAAAAAAGTTCGATCTGGTCCTCTGGACATTCAAAAAAAAAAACAAAGCAAAAAAATCTAGAAACGTTTCGTCTCTCATCCAAGAGACTTCCTCAGTCTGAGGTGCTGTTTTCAGCTCAGTCTCTTAAATAGCACCTTCTCAGAGTGGATCAACCAGTTTGCTGCTGACAACCAAAACCAGCTGATCACATGCTCAAGAAGGACGATCAGCCTAACAATGGATCATTAGCACACTGATGGCTGTTTACTATTCACAGAGGGCTGAGTGATACTAGCAAACACAGCATTGTAAGAGGGGGACAGTTGAACCCGGAGGCCTCCACCCCTGTTTAATGATGGACGATTTCTTTTCACAAAGATGGCCTCCTTTACTCCTCTCTCAAACCATCGTCCCTCTCTATCCAGGATGTGAACATCTTCATCCTTGAAAGAGTGACCGCTGGCCTGGAGATGAGTGTAGACCACAGAATCCTGGCCTGATGATGTTGCTCTTCTGTGCTGGGCCATCCTTTTGGCCAGTGGCTGTTTAGTTTCCCCGATGTAAGACTGATCACAGCCCTCTTGACACTGAACAGCATACACAACGTTACTCTGTTTGTGCCGGGGGACTGGATCTTTGGGATGAACCAGTCTTTGTCGTAATGTATTTTGGGGTTTAAAAGCCACTGGGACGTTATGTTTAGAAAATAAACGTCTCAGTTTCTCTGATACTCCCTCAACATACGGAATGACCACTGGTCTGGGTCTGGGTCTGGGTTCCTCCTTTTCACCTGATGGCTGACTGGAGTC